TTTCCATGGAAGGAATAAGGGACAGTTGCGGCATTCGAAGGGGCCTCTTTCTAAGTCAGGATATTCTGAGTGATACTAATAAATAAACTTAGAATCTTAATTTAATATATAGGTTGTTTTTACACACAAAAAATAAGGAATGCCATATGAAAATTAACCACCAAGAATGCGGAATGGCTCTTTACAGCCGTTTCTTTAGCAAAATGCTCCGAATATCATCAATATGTCAAAAAATGGGGCGAGTATTTTATATGTGGGTATTTCAGAGTGAATCAAGATAGACCATTGAGAATTCCCCATCAAAAATTCTGGATATCAAATTTCAAACGCTTCGCTTAAACTTTCAAGAAATTCGTCAATGAAGGGATACGACTATCCTGGGGCTATTCCAAAGCATCAACCTCAGCTCGACTTCATATTGGGCCCCTAGTTAAAAAAGTTCGTGTCTTTCCGGATCCAATATTAATTCCCAACTATTTGTAATGTTACTCTCCACAATCATAAGAAGGCCCTTCTCTATTAAATCACCGACATAATTCACTTTTGTCCTAACCATTCACTTCCGGTCGTTCGTTCGCTGACTGCTTGGCTGGCACGTTAAGTAATGAGATATGTAAAGAAAAAGTTAAAATAACATCAGTTGTGTATGGTTTTCTTCTCAGGTTTTGATGGGGTTTCGTCGCTCGCTCGCTTGCTTGGTAGCTGTGTACAGAAAACACAAAAATAAAACCCCAAACAATACAAAAAAGGTTAAGAGTGAATAATGTTTACCATTTGCAGACACCTGTGATGCCTTTGCATCCTCGCATACAGCAACAACAACAACAACATTTTGTGGTAATGGTGATGAGGAGTGGGGCTGCGGTAGAAGTTTGGGGAAAGACGAACTAGGTGTAAGTTACACATTAAACCAAATAAAATTGACTGCAAGAGAAATTCTTAATAGCTATAAAGATATCTGCAAGACAGGGGCACTCAACCTTGGGAATAATTAAAGCAAAAAATAAATGGGTATTCTAGGAAAGGTGACCTTTAAAGATTTTGTTTGCAACCATACATTTGGGCAAAGGTTATTACAAAAAAAGTATTTTTTTTTTGGAATATATTATGTTTTAATGAATTTTAGGAGAAATTTATTATCTACCAGATTAATGGATGTAAGCAATGTAATTTTTTAAATTATTTAAATTTTCTTGGAAAATTAATAAATTATGAGGATTTTATAAAGGATATTTCGCAACATTCGTATATAGGACATAAGACAAAGAAAGTATAGCATACAAAGGTTTACTATACGTATTTCCGATCAAAATGTTAGCTTCAAATAATTTGGAAAGCTTTAGCTTTAAATCTGAATGGTTTTCGAGTTTTTTTTTTTCAGAAAAGTGAAAATTTGGAGAGAATATTGTTGCTGTAGCCCAAACAATTGAAATTTGCCCATTCCTTGTCATTCTTACAATTTGGTTCTCCATACGGAGTGTATATTAAGTTAGTTTTTCCGTTTGTAATCAAAATTTTGAATAGAGCTGTAACTTGTCTGCAGGAAGATCAAGATCGAAAATGGGTAATATCGCTCCGAAAAAATTTGGGATACTTATTTGCTATGAAATCCCTCTCCAAAAATCGGTCTATATTTTTGTGTAGCACTCATAGTAAGGTACCAAAAATATGGCGAAAATGTTGGAGGTTTCAGCGCAGTTTTCTACCGAACTAGCTGCAATTTCGAATTTTGGATTCCTTCATAACAAAATTATTATTATTCGTCCCCCTTTGGAGGTAGTCCCCATAAAACCCTAGTTATATCCCTAACTACACTGTGGTACCTTTTGGTTCCTTTTGAGAATATGCACAGAATCACTCTCTGAGTCGATGTATTCATGTCTGTCCGTCCTCTGCCTGTCTGTCCATGTTAAATTGTAAACAAATACAGGTCGCATTTATGATCCAAATTGGATGAAAATTTTGCATAGGTCATGTTTGGTCCAAGGACGACCCGTACTGAAATTGGAGAAAATGTGAATGATTTTATGTGAATGATGAACCAAACTCTCAATATTTGTCCGATAGAGACACAATTTTGTAAGACGTACTAATTTTGATTCAGGTTGATGTATGCGAAATTTCGTTGAAATCAGTTTAGAGTTAGATATATGGTTTCGTCCGATTTTATGTAAATGGTGTATTAAACTCCCAATATTTGTCCGATTGGAGCAAAATTTTTGCACAGCATACACAATTAGGTGTAAACTGATATATGCGAAGTTTTGTTGAAATCGGTTCATATTTAGATATAGCTGCTATATATATGTTCTTCATATTTTATCTGAATTATGAACCAAAACTCCCAACATTTGTCTGATTGAGAGAACATTTTGCACAACGTACTGAATTGGGTCCAGAATGATATATGCGATGTGTTTGTGCACAAACTCCCAATATATGTTCGATTTTATAATATATCGAATGCAATTGAGGCAAGAATAAAGTGTGTTAAGGTTTTTTTTTTGAAATCGATACAAATTTAGATATAGGTCTTATATATTATTTCCCCCGATTTTAAGTAAATGGTGCACAAGAGCCTATGTTTAGAGTAATGTGTTTTAAAGTGGAAAACCCAAATGGTGTATCCAAATTTTGCCCAATTAGCTCCATGTGTTTATATGTAGCCCCCATACACAATTTTGCTGGATTTCATACAAATGGTACACCAAAGAATCTGTCCGTTTGACATGACATTTTTCATTGATTTCAGAACGGTATGTATATATAGGTTTTTATACCCTACACCATACTGTGGTACAGGGTGGTTCACCACACTGTCGTGAAGGGTATTATGTCTTTATGCATATGTTTGTAACAAGCAAAAGGAAACGATATAGGCACATGGTTCCTTTTGAGAATATGCATAGAATAATTTTTTAAGTCGATTTATACATGCCCGTCTGTCTGTCAATGTTAAATTGTAAACAAAGTATAGGTCGATTTTTGATTCGAATTGGATGAAATTTGGCACAGCTTATTTATTGGCAAAAGGACGAACCCCATTGAAATTGGGAAAAGTCGGTTCAGATTTAGATATAGCTCTCATATTTATTATCGTCGTTTTAAGGTAAATGGTGCACCAAAGTACCTATATATCCTTTGATTTGTACGAAATTTGGCATAGCGAAGTGAAATAAGTCTAGTACGATGTGTGTTAAATTTCGTGAAAATCGGTTCAGATTTAGATATAGCTCCCATACACATTTTCGTCCGATTTCATTTAAATGGTGCACCAAAGCCCCTATATATCTCTCGATATAAAGGGTGAACCCTGGACCCTATATATATATATATATATCGATTTGAAAGAAATTGGACTCAGCGTAGCCAATTAACTCTAGATTGATGTGTGCTAAGTTTCGTGAAAATCGGTTCAGATTAAGATATAGGTCCAATATATATTTTCGTCCGATTTAAGATAAATGGTGCACTAAAGTCCCTATTTATTTTTCGATTTGCACGGAATTTTTCATTGTGTACTGAGATAGGCTTAGAATGATGTGTGTTAAGTTTCCTGAAAATCGGTTCAGATTTATATATAGCTCAAAAATATATTTTCGTCGACGATCTTTCGGTTTATACGAAATTTGACATAGCGTAAAGAATAAAGTCTAGAATGATATGTGTTAAGTTTCGTGAACATCGGTTCCGATTTAGATATTGCTTCCATGTATAAATTCGTCCAATTTTAAGTAAATGGTACACCAAATACCAAAAGTAAGGCCTATTAACACAAACTTTTGCACAAAGCACTGAAGTTTAAGTAACATAGAGTGTGGATTTTTTTATTTTGAAATTTGTTCAGAGCTCCCATATGCATTTTCTTCCGATTTTAAGTAAATGATGCACCAATAACTTTTGAACTTTCTTTACAGGTTTAATGTTCACTTTATACAGTAAGGTAAAAAAAACATCGGTCCGACCTTACATAAAAATTAAGCTACTAAAATTTGCTAAACATAATTCCATATTTTTATTTTTGTCCACTACATTACAAAAGGTTGTTCACACCTGCCGCTTTTTCAATATTCTTATTAAACGATATAGATAACAGCTGCCTACATCTATTTTAGCCATTTTCGACTTTCGAAACTTTTCTCCGTTGTTATAGACGAACTCCACAACATTTAAAGGTCAAAACTTTTCCGTTTGATAGGTTTATACCTATAAACAGAAGACAAAGGTTATTGCTCGAATGCGAAACGCAGATAAAAATTATAAAAACAAAGAGTAGTGTTCTTAAGGTTAAATAGCTGTTGGTTTTGTTCGCTGTAAACGCAGTGGTCATGTAAAATCAATGAGCGAACGCAGAAAAAACTGGAATTAAAACAAAACTTTGCAGACATTGCATTAAAAGCCCTATAACATGTTGGATATTTTTATTCGTAATTTTTCATTAAAAACAAAGCTGAAGTCTTTTTCGTCCGATTTATGGTAAAAGGGGCACCAAAGTCCCTATATATGTTTCGATTTGCACGAAATTTGGCATAACGTACTGAATTAGTTCCAGAATAATGTGTGCCAATTTTCGAGAAAATCGGTTCAGATTTAGATATAGCTCCCATATATAGTTTCGTCCGATTTAAGGTAAATGGTGCACCAAAGTCCCTATATATCTTTAGATTTGCACGAATTTTGGCACAGTGTACTGAATTAGGTCTAGAAATATGTGTGTTAAGTTTCGTGAAAATCGGTTGAGATTTAGATATAGCTCCCATATATATTTTCGTCCGATTTAAGGTAAATTGGTATAGCGTAATGAATTAGGTCTAGAAATATGTGTATCTGACTTTACTACTTTCCTTACTGGTTTATATATGCAAATTTTTCGGCTCGAGGTCATTGAAAAAAAAAAATGGTTCCGTTTTATTATTATTTTTATTTGTATTTCTTATTTACTTTCAGTCTCTAGGAACTGAAAATCTCCACTAAATAAATTTATTGTAAATTCTAGAAAATTATACATTAGGTCCCCAGGAAATAACTTGAAAGGCAATTGGTTTCAACGCCTGGACATCAATGCTGTGAGAAGCCAATAACTTAATTATTTGTTGGATATTAGAAGATTTCTAGAAATAGAAAAAAATATGTTTCAAAATCCATGCACTTTGTAGCTTGAATTTCTTCAGGTATTTCAACTTACCAATGCTTCTTCGACCAGTGGCTTAAATTCCGCACTTCTCAGCGCTCTGTAGAAATTTGCAAAATTTGCATTTTTCATGTATTTATCGGTAATCATATGCTGATATTCTGGTCGTGGCAACTCTCTTAATATTTCCTCAACGAATGATGTAAATGAACCCAAAGGATGCTCTTGATAACGATGTTGATGATGACCGCTGGCCATGGTAGCCTGAACGCTGCCACTAACAGTGTTCAACTGGTCATCGTTTGCCCTTAGCATATTGAGCTTAGAGTCCAAAAGTACAATGTCCACTAATGACTGTTGCTCCGCTGAGGCAAGAACGGCATTGCCACCGCC